TAAATCTTTCTGTCTTTTGGACCATAGACCTGATAGCTGTTACTGCTTTCCAAAAAGAAGGGCCATAAATTTCTTTCCTTAAGAGATGGCATCTGTTACATCTTTCATCTGATGTCACATCCCTGTGGTTTTAAGTTACGCCTTGGTTGAACCACTTTGGATAGCAACTGATGAGCATCAAGCATTTATTTAAATTACACAGAATTACCATCAGAATCCTACAGTACAGCACTTCTATCAACACTCATAGAACACAAGTATGGCATGGGGCTGTGGGGAGGAATCTGTCTGTGCTCATATGTTATTTCTGCAGTCATGGTTCAGTCTGGCTCTGTTCAGATAATCCTTTTATAATACAGAACTGTATCTTCCAGCAAATTTCCAAGGGAATTTGTTCTGCTGCATCAAGTATCTTTTATGATAAGAATTCCCAAAGCACATTTCCTAAGGTGTTCAGGCTCAGTGGAAATCAAGCACTGTGCAGAAGTTAGTGCTCCTTTTTCCCCAAACTTTAATGGGCAGTCCAGTCAAATAAGCCATGCAGCTGTCTGCCCATAATACAGAACCACTTCTAACAGCTCAGATCACAACAATCTGCCCTGTTTAAGGAATAGAGCACTTAGTGAGGCACAGCCAGATGGACAGGCAGGCTGGGCTTCTCCCCATCAAGAAACAAAGATTCAGCGACAGCATCTGCTCAAGAAACACAGAAGGTTTCTGTCACACAAAGACAAGCATCATCTGTCAGTCTCACATCACACAAGCCAATTCACATGAGGGAAGGACTGAGATTCTGGAAGTCAGAAACTCTGCTCCTTCTCCAGAGGAGCTGCACCAAGCTTTTGAACAAAGCCAACCCCCAGGAACAGGAATCTACAAAACATGTCATTTTTTTCCCCCACATCAGTGCATTTTAAGGCAATGGCAGGAGTTAGGTATCTACTGAAGTGGGCACAGTATGAACACTTCCTCAGCAGGTGCTTACAACAACTCCTTTCTCAGATGAACCTACATGAAGAAACAACAACAAAACGAGGGAAAAAACCACAACTCACTCATCTCGGAGGGCTTGTTTAGAATGATGCCTTTAGGAAGGGAATCAAGAGAAAAGAAACAAATGAAGATGTAAAATTAGAGCTCAGTGTTCCAGTGTCTGCACAGTGACAGCAGCACAGCTGTTCAAACATTAATGCAAGCTGAGTCAGTGTTTGTCTCCTTCCCACTACCACAGTGCACCTCAGTGATGCAAAGCCTGGAACCAACATGGCCTCTGGTTCAAGTAGAACTGTTATTTGCCACTGAACTCCCCCTCGTGTAGAGCAGCTTCCTCTGGTTATGTGATGTATTCTAACAAGAAACTGAGCAGCTGAAATGAGAGAAAATGACAACTGAAATCTTAGCTCTCTCCAAAGACTGCCACCATCACCATGCCTGATGTCTGATAGCATAATGCTTCCCTTAACATCAATGCAATCTCCTAATTTTGGGCCAACACAACCACTGGAAGCAAACAACTTTTGCCTAGCCCTGTATTGCCTATACCCCTGATCAAATCTTTGCCATACATCTACACAAAGATGATGATATCTTCCAGCAAAGATCTTGGGGGGATCTCAGACAAAAAACTCAAGCTAGGTGTAATTAAAAATGAGACAGATCCATTTCATGCAAGCCACAGTTCCTCTAAAAGATGTGAGCTTTACAGTAACAATCAGACAAACATACAAAGATCCTTGGGATCCCTTCTCATACTTTCCTGAGTATTTCCAGCTGTCCAAGCAAGTTCTAATCACTCATTTGTAAGGGTTGAGGAGCATCTAACAGTCACATAAATACAACCCTGGTTCAAATCCCAAATACACACCAGTGCATTTAAATCAACTCACCTAAATATCATCTTTGTTAATAACTCCTGTTATACAAAGTTGGCACGTGACATCATAATGCTTTTTCTATAAAGTACTTTGACACTAATTTCACTAGCAAACAACTCCTCACTCAACAGCTGCTTTTGCAATTACAAAGCCATTATTGCTCCATGCAGACTAGCATCCAAAAAACCCAACTGCAACAAACCAACCTGTGTAACAGCCACTGCTGCATATCTTCTACTCATGGGTTTTTCCCTTTTAATAGCTGATCCTTTCTGGACTAAAATTGTTTCAGTGCTCAATACAGCACACATTTGAAACAGCCAGTATGAAATGCATGTGGTGGTGCAGCACTTACAGGGTTAAGTGAACAGCAGAAAACACAGGCAGTCTTCCGTGGCCATCTTCATCAGGGAAACCTCTAAAGCACAGCAGTGGGTTCATGTCAGCACCTTCCAGAGCTGCAGTGGTGGAGTAAAGGCACACTGTGTGCAGACTCGTATGTGGTCAGGAAAGAGGGAGGTGGGGGGGAAATGGAGCAGGAAGGATTGCAGGATCATAGGAAATCCTGCTGAATGGAGGATGAGTTTCAGACAGGATTCTCCTGTGGCTCTCCCCCCTCCCCACCACCACTATCCAAAGAGCAGCTTCAAAGCCAGATGAAACAAATGACGAGGCTATGACTAACAAAGTTCACATTTATAACACTGGCCCTAATCTGTCTGCGACTGCAGTAAGTTCACAGCCTGTTCTGGCATTTCAGCAAGCACAGAAAGCAACTGCAAGCACCAACTGCTGCTACACAGCTGCCACGGGGCTGGAAGGAAAGCAAGGGGCTGCAAAGCAGGAGCAGGGCCTGCAGCACCCACTGGGTGAGGTTCTGCTCTCACACAGTGCTCCTCTCTGCAGAGATTCCTTTCTATGACAGAAGGCAGCAGTAGCAAGAGATGTGAAGAAATCTTTTATACAAAGACAAGCTTTTGGAGAGGACGAGGGATTTCATGCATCACTTTCAGGGTCAGCAGTATGAGCTGAGGTGTAAGAAGTTATATTTCTGACTGCTGTTTCCTCCCTCAAAAAGTAACCACTGGACTGCAGGATTTGGGCTCCTAAGCAACTCTTCACTCACAGGTGCTGCCTATAAAATAAGCACACAGGTTAAATACAGGTTTGCAAACACAGCTGTCCTCTATTCTGCAGCTGGATCACTAGTGTGCAAGCACACACACAAGCAACTTTCTATATGCAGGCACAACCTTTCACATGCATGCATTTTATCTAGCTGAAGACCTATGTATGTAATCCCTCCCCATAGGAAACATCATCTATTTGTGCTGTCAAGCTTCTGGTGGTGGCTTTTGAACTGGAATCCTGTGAAAGGATATTGCTGTTCTTAAAGAGGCAATGCTCTATTTCCCTTCCCAATTAAAAGGCTAACTAACCTGTTGAGGGCAGTGCTTCTCTTGTGCATGGGATCTGGATACAGGAGTGCCAACAAAGCCAAGCTCTTCTATTTCTGCTTTTGACATAGGACCTGAGCAAACTCCAGGCAAGGAATGAAATGACATGGGAGGCACAGACCATTCCCTCTCTGAAGCTACTCTGATGCTGCCTTCATACAGTACCCAGCACACAGGTTCTCTCTCAGTTAATAGGGACTATTTAATCAGCTATAAAAGGGAACTGAAAGATTCTCCCTTCAAAATCCAGGCCATTTTTCCATAGGACCACTCACAGCACATGCAGGACTGTGCAAAGATCATTAAAAAAGATTACAAATTATTCATGGCTCTAAGTTTAGAAGCCAAGTACAGCAAGTGACTGTGCACAAAATAAAAGGCAACTTGATCAAGAGATTCTCAAGCTTCTGCAATGACAACACAGGGGAACAAAAAGTGAATTGAAGCCCACAGTGTGTAACAGCTGTTAGTAATCCAAGCAGCAAAAAAGACACAGGAATGTTCAACTGATTGCTTACCAGGATGTACTTCATGTTGGTCACCTTCAATTCAAGAAAAGGCAAGCAACAAAAATACAAAGTGCTGCAAGATTGGTTTTTGTTTTTGTTTTTAAACAGAAGACTGAAGGCATCATTTTTCTTCTTCAGGCATTTCTGTAATGCAATAATTGAGAATCCACCTCCAGGCACTCACAGCACTTCAGCCAAACTCAAACTTCCCACTGCCTTCCCTCTATTTGTGAGTCACTAGTAGAGCCCTCCCATCCTCCTCTCACTGATCACCACTGAAATGCACTTCCCAGTCACTGAAGTGACACACACACTTTTTTTTTCCCATCTTTACCATCTCTAGAACTCTTCAAAGTGTCTTTCTATACTAAAGTCACAGCATTTGATTTAAAAATCAGTCCAAACAACAAAACCTAATCAACTTAAAAGCCAATGGAACGGAACAAGTGCAGCAGGCACACAAAGGATGTGCTTACCCTTGACCTAAGCAGCACAAAACATCAATAGTTTCTGTTAAAAATATATAATTCTTCTCAGACCAAATAGAGGTTACATAGGTGACTGGTTTGGGGGGCAGGGAGATGAATGCAGCGCATTGTTTCAGTCCACATAATAACTACCCCTACATCCTCCCTTGGGTCATTTCCCACACATCTCCCCTCCTCAGCTCTGTTTCTGACCAGTTCTATCATCCAGACCTTTTGCATCAACCCCATCACACACAGCCCCTTGGATCATAGTCTGCAATTTCAGCTCTGCAGTCTCTTCCTCATCTCTGTGCATCTTCCACCACCAGTGACCCCCACCTGCTGGCTCTCCCAAAAATCACACGATGCTGTGCTGCCCCTGTTGACAACTTCCCAACAACTCACAGTGAATGAGTTATTTCGTTTCTCCCACTCAAATAAGTATTGAAAGCTGAAAAAAGAATTCTTATGGATCTGTAGGATGTAATCCCATCTTTATAGAAGACCAACACTAGTTAAAAAATAAATGATATAATTTCATATCTCAAATACACAACATGACACCATTTGATTAATTGCTAGAAATTCCTAGTTTTTTTTTTTAATAAAAAAAACTAACTTTCAGAGTTTGAGCTTGATGAAGTCAGGCAGTGCCTGAGGCCTTTTTCAACATATTTAACACAAGGTGGAATAACAAATCAGGCAGTGAACACTGCCATCATGTGTGTTAGGAGCACACATGGAGTTTATCAAGTTCTTAACTTGCTTAAGATACCACGGGCCTTCCTTCAGAAGGTTTCCATGGAAACCTCAAATGATGTCTATAGGGGAACAGAAAAAAAGGTTTCCTAAGGTATGGCTGGAACAGCTCCATGGAAACGAGCCCTGACTGTCAGAGGAGGTGAAGGAGGCGGTTGTGTGGGAAGGAACTGAGCTGACTGTCATCTGTGCAAAACAGGAGCCATGCAGACCAGGTTAGCATCATCCAAACATCTGCTGCCTGACAGCACAGAGCTCTGGGACAGCTTGAGGTCAGGTGTTGCAGGTGATCCCAGTGCCACAAGGCCCTGGAGGAGCACAGACATCTGCCCGTAGGCACAATTATAGCAAGCACACCATGCTAAGCTTAGGAGGAACTTCCCAGAAATTCCCATTTTCTTCACAAAGTAAGAGAAAAATCATACCAATACGTGTTATTTTTTGGATTGCAGTCAAGTCTCCACAGGTGAAACTTAGCTGCACAGAGCATCAGAGTCTGATGCAGTTACTCTTACCATAAATATACTATCTCCTGCTGAAATAAGCATTAGTATAGTTAGAAGCCAAAGCAAACATATTGAAACATCCTTAATCAGCATGTGCCAATCTACTAAACTCAGGTATATTATTTAATGCTATTTGAAACTATCCCAGCAGCTGACTATCTGCTCCCCCATTGCCTAGCTGCAAAACACAGCCTCAGCCAAGACCCAAACCCTTCCTCGAGCATTTGTGAGGATAAGTGAAGTGCAGGAGGCACTATAAAAACACTAAATAGTCTCAAATTCTCCACAGAAAAGTCAGTTTTCCCAACATCTGGCTGCTTTGTCCCCAATTTGAAAAGAAACATTTTCTGCAGTTATGAGAGGCACAGAGTTAAAGAAATATAAACAGTCCCCTTTTCTTTTTTCCTCCATCTTATTTCCTTTTTCCACTCCCTTTGATTGTGTTTAACCAGAAGGAGTTTTGATTTCAAACACAATCTTGGAGACTCACTTTAAATCCATACAGCTGCACCCTGAAGACGTGCAGTGCTGAGGCATCCTCCAGCAAGAGCTCAGGGCAGGACAGACTACACACAAAACACTCACAAAAGCTCTTCCTCCTTTTTATTACATTATCACGCAGCAAGTCCTTTCTTAATAAGATCAGAGTTCCAAGGCACACAGCAGGTCTTGCCCTGCACTGAGCTTTCCAGACCCTATTTTGTTTCTGCATCCCTCCGGGACAATTCCCTGACCTCCTCCTGCCTTTTGCTCCATTCCACATTCCTCACACTGCTTGCCAAAACTTCACACTCTTCATGTTAAATTCCCTCATTACAGCTCAGGAAGAGCCTTCCTTGTCCATCTTTCAGTAAATCCTGCTCTCTAAATCCTCTCCCCCACGCTTTACAGCTTGTCCATTTACTGCTTTTCTGGAGAAGACAGCTTTCTCCACTGCAGGGATTTCAATCCGTTGAAAAACACAGCATCGAAAACTCAGGTGAATGGCAGTTCACTGGAACAGAGCCCAGAGGTCAGAGCTGAAAGTCTGTTGTTTTCAGTAGATGCTTTGAAAGAGAATCAAAGCTGAGACCTGGGCTGCCTTTATAGGGAGAACCAGTCCCAGCCTCAGCTCACAATTTGAAGTCTTGACTTCTTTGCAGCCTTTGGTTTCCATTCAGACAAACAACATCAGCAGAGAATTGCTGAAGTGAACAGGAACAAATACACGAGTGAAAGAGATGAATTTTAAGAAGTAAACACTTTTCAAATAAAGTGATGCTGCATACAGCTTCCATGGACACCTGTACTCCTCTAATAACCACTTTCACATCTCAAAAGCACAAACAAGCCTTGCTCATCCTGGACTGCCAATCACACAGTCAGATTGTATAAATATAAGACATCTGTGTTGGACAGTCTGAAGTTAAAACATTCTCAGCAGTGGGGCAATTATGCTTCTCTCCTTCCCAAAGATAATGGAAGCTGAATTACATTTTCATATGACAAATTGTGGGTATCTTCTAAATACATCTTCTGTCAGAGCTGCGTTGTCTTCTTGCCACACCAAGCAGCTCTGCAAAGTCAGAGCACAATTAGTTCTTAACCAGTTCCCCAACCTACCAGCATTATGTTCTCTCCTCACATCACTTCATTACTGCCCAACACTGATGCACATTAACTTGCATTCCCTTGTTTATATTCTCTTCAGTATACAGAAGCCATGTTCTCACCCTTTAAAATGCCCTTTTTAAAGAAACTTAAAAAAAAAAAATAAGATCACTCCTCAATCCAAAATACTCATGCAAGCATAAGGACTCATGGTTTAATTTCCTCCTCAGATATGAGATCCAGCCAAGGAGAATAATCTAGCTGAATGAAACCACTAAGAATAAGATTATCTGAGGAATCCTGCTAATGATCAGAGGGTGCTAAAGAAAGGAACAACACAGTAACGATTAACAAGTTATTGAAGAGCTTTACTAGAACACACACAGATGGCACACAGACAGTCAAACGCTACACATACATTTTCATGACATTTTGGAAGCAGCACATTTGGATTTGAATACGCCAAGCTGTTACTCAGAGCAGCTTAGTTGCCACTGACAGAGCTCTACCCCATTCATTTTCGTATTGAAACACACCTGCAGCACACATCTTTGAGCATGCTCGTAGTAAAACTATTAACATGGATTTGCTATGTTGCTGTGATTCGTTTTGCTCTCAGTTTTCAGTCTGGAATCAGCCTGGAAGAAGCCAAAGGGAGAACGGTAACCCCACACACTTAAAGGAACAGATACTTTCAGAAGTTTTTCTTACTCCTGGATCACAAAAGGCACTAATTTGAGTGGCCCTTAGATGCTTTGTCAATTTGTCAATGTTTTTTTTTTTTTTTATGAACTCCAAACCCATGTGTGTTCTCTATCCACTACAGAGGCTGAAGATGAGCATCTCTGCCATCCTCATGCTCACAAACCAATGCAACAGATGCCCAGATCCCATTTTAAAGCAGATCTAAACACCCTTTGGCAGCTTTTCAGTCAGCTGTCAACTACTGCAGCAGAATCCTTTTCCCTGGCACTAACACACTGGACAGAAGGCCACAGAATCTATGCAAGCAGTTACTGAAATGTTTTTTATGAAGTGAAAGCCATTCAGCATTTCTTGTTGTTGCTCATGGGGTTTGTTTGGGCTTTTTGTTTGTTTTAAATGAGGAATTGGTAGAGAAAAAGTGTGCAGTCATTGAGCCAATCACTGCTGCCCATCTAAAGATAACAACTGGGGGAGATGCTGACCCCCAGGCTGCTATGAACCCCCAGGTTATCCTGAGGCCAACTGCAGAGTTATGCCACAAAACACACATTTGTTATTGATATGCTTCTAACAGTTCCTTTAATATTAAATACCCAAGTGAAGTTTGTTCACATAGCAAACAGGGAAAGCAAAATGCTCTCCTGTGGACACAAACTACAAACTATAAGTGCTGGCCTTAAGCAACCTCGTCTCAATTTCTGTTCACTCTTCAGGATGAAGGGATGCCTCCAGAGAGTCAAGGGCACTAGAAAGCAGATCATCTCAGCAATAATTACACTTGACATTCAAATTACAGCCCAGAATAATTTCATTTAAGCTTTCACAAAGTAACAGGAAATAAATGCATCAATAAACATCACAGAGGAATGACAGGCTGACATGACAGCACTTTCAAGCTCCTTGGATTCCTACACTTAAGATTCATGAATGGGGGAAAGGAAAGCTAAAAAACAAAGCTAAAACCCACTTGCTAAACTCAGCTGCCCCTTAAAACTAATGGATTGAAGGAGCATCTCAGTAACAATCACATGAAAGCTATGCTTGTTTGAGAATTAATAGAGAATAACTGTGCCACATTCCCTTGGGATGGGTTTTCAAGGGGCTGGACATTGACCCAGAGTATTTCAAGGGATCAGCTTCAGTGAAAGGTTTTTTGTTAACTTTTCCCCCCTTTTTAGTAACAAAAGTTTCTTCATTTGCCTGAGCTGCACAGACACTCTGAAGTCCTATTCTCAGTGTTTCAGTAGAATCTTCACCCAATCCTTTTTCATTTCCAAATTCAAGAAGATTTTCTGTTTGGTATTAATTGACATTTTGATGGTGAACCCAAAGCAGACTGCTAACTGGAGAGCAACAATGGATCTGTTAGAGATTTGCCTTCAAAGGCAATGCCAGCCACCAGAAAACAGAACAAGAACACTTATTTCTTCTCTGGACGACCCTTATCTCACATTTTCTCACATTATCTCACCAGCTGGTCACTCACACCACCAGCTCACTCCATTCAGCCTCAGTCCCTTCAATTATTGGTCAGAGGAGGCACCAACCTGATCTGCTCCTTCCAGCTCTAACATCACAGGTCTTTGAAACGGAGCAGACATTCCAGACCTCTATGGGCTCCTAAGCTCAGGGGCAGCACATGAATACAGAGCTCCTACTGACCTGAGCTACAGACAGCCCTGAGAAGCTGCCAAAACCCACAGGAGACGGAGTGTCTCCTAGCAGAGCATGGCCAGAAACACCAATCCACACTGCTGCCTTCCAGGGGTTCCAAGAGAAAACCTTTAGGGCTGCTGTCCCATTTTGCCCTCATCTGGCTTTTCTAGATGAGAGATCAGAACTGCCTTTGTATCACAAAGCCTCATTGTAAGGTTAGGAGCTTCTCTCTCATTGGGCTCAAAGTAGCCCAGAGCCTCCATGCACACTGGTCACACTTCATTCTCTCTCCGTGCTACAGAGGAGAAGTCTTTGTTAGAGCAGTCTGTCAAAAAACAGGATTATTTTTTATTATTATTTCTTCCCTATTCAGCCTGGATCCCTAATGCTTTCTTTGGCAAAGACAAGGAAGAGCAGATGTTCAGCTGAGAGAAGTTCACAACGAATACTACATGCTGGTTTCCTATGCTGTACAATATAGAAATTAAAGTGAAAGCCAATAAAGATGATGGCACAGATTTGGTGACTAATTCTGCAACATAAGCAAACACACTGCTGAAGAAACGAGGCAACTTAGCCAAGTAGAAAACGTCATAAAACCAAGTAACTCAGCAGTACAAATTCCCTTGAGCTGAGGAATTCGTTTCTCTAGCCTACTGATTTTTTTTTTTAATCTCACCAACCAAAGCTGAGCATTAAATACTGGTAGAAATATTGGGTACCCCCAGAGCCAGGAAAGTCTAAATATCTGAAGAGGAAACCTGGAAAAACAAAAGAATGCTCCAAAAGAATCACCCAATTCATCAGTTTCTCCACTAGATTAATAAGTTTGACTGTGTACACCTTGGCTGGATGACAGCTATGGAGAGACTGCAATGACATCACACAACTCAAATTGCTTAAAGAAGTCTCCGGGGTGTGAAACACAGAATAACAGAACAAATGAACTAAAGGGAATTAAGAAGTTTCTTTCAGTCATCACACAGCTGAACTTCAGGATGGAAAGGTAGAAGAGGGGTGTGGGTTGTAGCACAAATAAGGGTTGGGGTCATTTGTAAAATCTGTATCTAGATCCAGGTTGCAGTTTCCACCCTGGTGATCATAAACAGATTCTCCTACAGCCATTTCCCAGCACAAAGGGTGGAACTGCTTACTGGAAATAGCAGTCTCTCCCATGCTTTTCATTAACACTGGACACGACCATGGAAAACATCACACTAAACAACCACACCAGGAGCAATGCAGAGTCGCTGATTTTCTCCATCCTGCCTCCCACTTTCCCAAAAGGCTTCCTAAACCTTAATTAAAAAAAAAATAAAAATTTGGCATGGTCAAAACACCAAGCCCTGAAATTCCTTCCCCCACAACAGGTCCATTGGTAATCCTGCCCAGGTAGATCAGTGGGCTCTTTTTGAGTACAAAAGCTGACACAACTACTAGCAAGCTATTAAGCACAACCTCCACTAATCCACTAAATTCTTGCTCTTTAGTAGAGCAGCATTTATGCTCTGAATGCTCACGATGAGGTTACAGCAAGTCCCAAGTCTATTCCCACTTCACTAGAATGACAGAACTAACAGTAAGGCAGATAAGAATTACAAAACAGAGCTGTGCACACGTCAAGGCACGACTCTGAAAGCATCCCATAGGCATTTCTAATATTTTAAAGTTTACTAGAAGTTTTTTCTAAGCACCCTATAGGGATAGTGACCCCAGAGAGTCCATAACCAAATGTTTACACCTTGTGAGAAAAGTAACTCTGGACACCCTAATGGGAACCTAATGGAAAGCTAAAAGGAGCTGCAAGTGATGTAGAAGCAATATCTGAAAGTATTGACAAAAAGAATTCAAGTAATTTTTATAACCTGACCTTTCAACTAATTCTTCCTCTCTCTACACTAGTTTCCTCTCACGTAGTATAGAGAAAGTGTAAAAGCATTGAGGCCCACAGGCTAGAAAGAAGCACCAAGGCAAAGCATCAACACTGAAAAATCAACAGAGCAAGTCTAACAGAGCTCTCATTTCTCTCTCTAGAATGCATGTTTGCAGGGCAAACTCATAACACTGTGTTGCTGTTGTTGTTTTTAAACATAGGAGGCAAACTCGGCACTGAGACCAGAAGTGTGAGGAAAGGTGTGCCAACAAGACATATTGAAGTTGAGGTTTAAGTGGGATATCAAGAATTTCATCCCAGGAAGAGAGGTCAGGCATTGGAATTGGCTGCTAAGGGAGATGGTGTCACTACCCTTAGAGGGGGACCTTTGGATGAGGCACTTAGGGGACATTATTTGCTGATGGACTTGTAGTGTTTGGTAACAGTTGGTTTGATTTTATGAGTATCAGATGCTGTAATTCTAAAACTGAGCAAAGGAAGGAAAGAAGCAGACAGGGGTCAAGTGAAAAACACCTTTGGCTAGGTTTCTCATCCTGTTTACTGGTAAGTATTTGATTTACTCAAGTCTCAGCACAGGAGGAGGGAATGTGCAGGAAGTTTTCCTTGCTTTGATGCATGTCTGGATGTGAATATTTCATATCTCCTTAGAACTGCATCAGAAGAGAAGATTTCAGACTTCCGAGCAACTGAGGGCTGAAGCCTGTTTGCTCCCCTGCTCACAGTAACTCTTTATTTGGCACAGAGTCCTATTTTTAAGACCACAGATACCTATGCACCGCCTCATCACATCACTGACTCCACAGTACCAGTGCTTAGCAAGTGAAGATAAACTCAAGCATCAGCTCCAGCTTATCAGCTCAAAAAAAAACAAGGCTTATCCGCCCTGTCAAAGCTCTACCACAAACACACTGCTATCCTTTTAAGCCCCATGGTCACTCTTCCTTGCATATAAACAACCACAGGCATTTAAATTACTCTTCCAAGGAACTCAAGATGGAACAAGTCTCTCTCATCCACCTCCTGTTCCAGTTCAAACTCCTCATCTTTGTAGCACCCACAAATACTCTGCAAAGACTCTCAAGTGAAAAGATCATGAATATTTGTAGGAAAAAACACCCTAACCCAGCAGTGCCCTCTCCTAGGGCCCAACTCAGCCAACTAATAAGACATTAGCTGGACTTGCTGTGGTTTTCCTCTCAAATCTCACCAGCACTCCTCAATCATTTCAATCATCTGATAACACTTAAGTGTCTTTTTGCCCCCTTGCCCTGACACAGAGTTGGTGAGATGTGTAAGGAAACAGTAAGACAGTATGAGGAGTGAAGTTTTATTATCAAATAACCTAATACACGTGCAAGCACAAGTAATGTTTATTATGTTTATTATTTACCTGAGACCTCTGCAGAGTTTCTGCATGAGAGATGCTAAAAGGAAAGCTCATATTCACAGAAGGGGGACATGTGGCTACACTGCAGTCACCAGGCCTGCTAGCTAGGCATAGTTACTGTAAGTGACCTAGTTAGAAATGGAAATGTGTGCAAGAAAGCTGCAGAAGTCTCACACTGAATCAGCACTGCAGCCTACACCAGCAGATCAAGAATTGGTTTCACTTCTCTACCCAGCTGTGCTCTGTCTTACCACAAGCTAAGATCTCTCTAAACAGCAGTTTCTCCTTCTGAGCCACCTGGTTGGTTCAGTATGAGATGAGCAAGACACGTGGGAAGACATCTTCCCTCCCTGTGCATGCTCTGTTCCACATTTTATACAGTTAGCCTGAAAACCAGGCCTGTCAGATCAGGTAAACCATTCCTCTTGGGATGCGTTCCCTCTTTGCTGAAGGGGCCAAAAGGGCAGCAAGGTTCCACAGCTCGCAGGGCTTTGCCCTTTCTACTGTGTCATGTGTCACAATGATGAGCGTGGCACCACAGGGGGAGACGACAGCTTGTTCTTTTACATTAACTTCTTCCAGATCACACCAGGGCTCAACACAGTCATAATGATCTCTGAAGAGTGTTTTCAATCCCTCTTCGTTCCAACACAGTATAGACAGGAGACAATGAGACCTACACGATCCATTTGTCTCACATGGAAAAGAAGGTGCATTTATATCATAGCAAAGTCCACCCAGCCACAGCAATAAGCAGGGCTACCACCTCCTTTTGAGTTCTCAAGGTGAGCCTTCCAACCAGATGCAGTAGTGTCACTGCTCACATTCCAAGCTCAGGTGCACAACATGGGACATCTTAGAGGCAGTCACTGATCACAGTATCACAAGCAAAAGTGGTGACTTCTGAGAATTATATCTTGCACTCTGGAACAGAAAGATGAACTCCAACGCTAGCCAGAAAGTAATTAAAACTAGCTTATTAACTACCCAAGATGTTTAACTGGTTCTTGTTACAACTACAGAATTTCTCCATCCTGTATTCAGCATTACAACACCCTCTAGCATATATCACACTTGCTTTGCCTGCTGGAAGTCGAGGACCAGCAAGGCTAATACAATCCACAGCATTTAGACACTCTTATCAGCATACAATTACAATGGCTGACCTCAAGTGACGTGCTTAGTCACTCCAGAAGTCAGCAACAGAGCTCAAACCTCCAGGAATCCTATGCTAGCTCTTTAAACCAGCCAATTGTTTCCTCTTTTAATGAGGCTTACAATGCAGATCCCACTGTTCATCTTCCAGAAGAACAGCAGGCTGGGCCATAGCTGTCATGCACAAAAGAGCTGGGCTGCAGACTACAGGACTACAATATCAGATCATCGTTAGTTTCACTCTTATTAATTTTAACATATAAAACACTGAAATTCAGCATATATATCAAGTTACTGACTGCACGCAGGACCCAGGTTGACCTGCTTACTGACTTCCATCATATAAAGAAGAAATGCAGGGTAAACTTAAAGCTAAATCCTGAATCTGCTCCCCCAATCAAGACTTACCAGATCACAGAAGGAGTTCAAACACTGCATCTCATTTCTGTAGGAACTCACTGCAGTATGCAACACTGCTCTGAAACCTGAGACATTTCTGTTTCCAGAGTCATTCATCAGTAAACTCATGTTTAGGTTGTACATGAAGCAGTTTGAGACAGATGTGAAGTGGTGTAATGAGCATTTGTATGTATTGAGGCTGGGAGGATGAGAAACACACAGTCCACAAGTTCATGGGAAGGCAGCATGCATGACCTGACAGTGTATGAAACAGGAGGCATTCAAGCTCTGCAACACAGAAGAACATTTGTTAAACATAATGCACAAGCATGCCAAATAAATGCATGTTGTCAAGAACAGCTTTACAATCAGTCAGCAAATTTATTTACTTTAATCCCAAGAAAAAAAAGAAACATGCCATGAAAACTGATGCATATGATTACATTCCTCAGGTCAGCTAGGATTAAGTTTAGTTCCTCCTGCTTTCCTACAGAACCTCTCTGCTGCTGTTTTCCCTTACCACCCAATCCCAAATGAGATTAAGATCCTTCCTTAAGCAAGAATCCAGAATTCCAGCACATCTACCATGCAGTATCTGTCAGGTTTGGCTGAACACAAGGGAAAAGCGTAGCTTTAGAAGCCTGTTCATAAAATAAACAAGCTAACAGAATAGGAATATAGT